CTAAGGAATGTGCCCAAGATCACACACTGTAGGCTGCAAAGCGAGAGTCAAACTTTGAACCCTGAACCTGCACTTGTCCCTGTACACTGCCCTGCAGCATAGATGCAATGGCTGGGCAGGGGGAAATACCCAAGCCTGGGGATAAAAATGCCTACCTGCTTTCTTGTGTGTCAACCTCAGCTACAGAAAGGAGAGGGCATCTTTCTAACACATCAGTGTAGGGTTCTAAAAACACAAGCTAATAGAGGCAAAGCTATCAAGAGAGGCCTGGCAGAGCCTCATGTTTGCCTGGTGGGAGGACCTGTATGTTGTGAGCTAGAGTGCCTGCCTGGCCAAGGACCCCATCTGGCCTAGGCCCAAGTGCACCCACAAGTTGGGTCCACTGCTACAAAAGTGGCCAAGCCTGAGGACAGTAGCAGTGCCACCTGATTTCACATTCCCAAGATGTCACCTGAGAATTAAAGGGTAGAGATGGTAGCTGGGTGAGGGGGCTTATGCCTGTAATCCCAGCACATTGGGAGGCCAAGGTGGGAGGATCACTTAAGCTCAGGAGTTCAATCACCTGAGGTCAGGGTTCTCTTAAAAAAAAAAGAAAAAATTAGGCTGGGTGTAGTGGCTCATGCCTGTAATCCCAGCACTTTGGGAGGCTGAGGCAGGTGGATCACCTGAGGTCAGGAGTTCAAGACCAGCCTGACCAACTGAAGAAACTCCATCTCTACTAAAAATACAAAATTAGCCAGGCGTGGTGGTGCATACCTGTAATCTCATCTACTTGGGAGGCTGAGGCAGGAGAATCACTTGAACCTGGGAGGCAGAGGTTGCGGTGAGCCAAGATTGCGCCATTACACCCCAGCCTGGGCAACAAGAGCAAAACTCCGTCTCAAAATAATGATAATAATAGTAGGATTTCAGAGCATTTTGAAAATGAAAGAAATCAGTTCTCTAAACCTGTAGCTCCCCATTCTCTGAAGTAGTGGCCTAAGCACTGCTCGCAGTTTCAAAGAAGGGAGCAGGAAGATGGTGTCCACACAGAGAGGGACATGCCCACACCAGCCTTTCTGAAGAACACCAGCCTATCTCTCAGACCTGGCTTGATGGCTTCTGCCCTTGCCAGTGTGGGGACACATGGTACATTTAAGCATGGGCACCATGGCCCCTAATACCCAGGGAACACTACATCTTTTCTGACCTTGGTTTCAACTCTTAGAGACACTGAACAATATCCATTTTCTTTTCTCATAATTGAATTATAGAAGAGTTACAAAAAATAAGTAACAGTTAATCTATATACCCTGAATTATATCTCAAATTGTTTTTGAGAGGGGGGTCTCACTCTGTCACCCAAGTTGGAGTGAAGCAACGTGATCTTGGCTTACTGCAATCTCTGCCTCCCAGACTCAAGCAATCCTCCCACCTCAGCCTCCTGAGCAGCTGAGACCACAGGCGTGTGCCACCATGCCAGGCTAATTTTTTGTATTTTCGGTAGAGACAGGACTTCGTCGTATTGCCCATGCTGGTCTCGAACTCCTGAGCTTAAGCCATCTGCCCACCTCAGTCTCCCAAAGTGCTGGGATTACAGGCATAGGCCACTGTGCCCAGCCCTGAACCATATCTTGATGACCAGCCCCCTCTCTAAGCCAGCACTGTCCAATTTTTTTTTTTTTTTTTTTTTTTCTTTGAGACAGGGTCTCACTCTGTCACTCAAGGCTCAGGCTGGAGTACAGCGGCATGATCTCGGCTCACTGCAACCTCCACGTGCTGGGCTCAAACTACCCTCTCCCTCAGCCTCCTCAGTGGATGGGATCACAGGCGCAGGTCACCAACCCAGCTAAGTTTTGTATTTTTTGTAGAGATGGGGTTTCGCCATGTTGCCCAGACTGTTCTCAAACATCTGGCCTCAAGTGATCCCCCCACCTTGGACACCCAAAGTGGTGGGATTACAGGCATGAGCTACGGCTCCTGGCCCCAGTAGAACTTTCTACTGTGATGGGACTGTTCCAAATCAGAACTATTTAATATGGTAGACACTATTTCCATGTAGACACTAAAAACCTGAAATGTGACCAGTGCAACTGAGCAAGTGAATTTTTTATTTTATTTCAGTTATTTCTTTTTCTTCTTCTTCTTTTTTTTTTTTTTTTTTTTTGAGACAGACTGTCGCTCTGTTGCCCAAACTGGAGAGCAGTGGTGCAATCTCAGCTCACTGCAACCTCTGCCTCCCAAGTTCAAGTGATTCTCCTGCCGCAGCCTCCAGAGTAGCTAGGATTACAGACATGTGTCCCCATGCCTAATTTTTGTATTTTTAGTAGAGGCAGGGTTTTGCCATGTTGGCCAGGCTGGTCTCCTGACTTCAGGTGATCCACCTGCCTCGGCCTCCCAAAGTGCTTGGATTACAGGCATGAGCCTCACATCTGGCCTATTTCAGTTAATTTCAATTTAAATGGCCACATTCGCCAGTGTTTGTAATAGTGAGCAGCACGGCTGTGTCCTCACTTCTCTAAGGCAGGCCACGACCCCTCACAAGTTACTGTGTAGCCTGTTAATACTGTTTCAGTGTGGCAAACTGAAGCCCTGGTTTCAGAAAGAAAAGTACTTTGGGGAACAACAATCAAAGACACACAGAGTGGATTTGATGCACTTTTACTGCCTTGCTTCAGGAACATGCTCTGAGCTATGACAAGGCAGAGCAGGGGCTTGTGGGCCTACATGACAAAATAAAACAGGAGGGGAACTGAGTCCCTAAGGGAATTAACCCTGTATCTGGAAAACATGAGTGGCAGGCAGTGAGACTTACAGATATATGATGTGCTAAAATTACTGAATGAAGCAATTTTTCAATAAAAGATTCTAGAGAGAGGCACACCCCTCCCACAGTTTTACCTCTTCATTAAGTTAAGTATTAAATTAATTCCCTAGAAAATATCCTCATGGTCATGTCACTGTAAGTCTGAAAATTAACTGCAGGAATTAGGTACTGTCAGCCTTCCTTCTGAGTCTTCAGCAGCCTGGGCCTCACATCCACTGCAGCTTGGAGTAAGGATAATGTGGGGGCTGGCCAGCAGCCAGCCCTGCTCTAAGCTGATCTGTGGCACAGCTGGAAGGAGAACAAGAAATACCTATGCACTGTGCAAGGGCAAAAGCATTCTACATGCCTGTGACAAACCAGAGTTTGTTCCACTACCACATTTAAAGGACAAGACAACCACAGGCCTCTACATCAAAATGACAGTCCAATGGGGTGTCCAGCAAGCTCCATCCCCCTTCCAAAGCCCACTCCACTCAGAGAAAGTCATCGGTCATGCCAGAGGCCCCAACATCCTCCCAAAAGAGGATAAAAATCACACTCTTAGAACCACAAATTCTGGCCAGGCATGGTGGCTTATGTACGTAATTCCAAAAATTTGGGAGGCCAAGGAAGGAAAATCACTTGAGGCCAGGAGCTCAGGACCAGCCTGGGCAACAAAGCAAGACCCCATCTCTACCATCAATCAATAAAAATTTTTTTTTTTTTTTTTT